AGAGGGAAGCCTCGGGACGGACAGACAGTGGATTGGACAGTCTTGGCTCTTGAAATAGAAATACTAAGAGGAAGTGAGGCTCTTGCCAGAGTTTGGGGAAGAAGGCAGTGGCGGGGCGGGGGTGCTTAGTGAAAAGCTGTAGTTGATTTCTTCTGAAAAACTCCAGAGGTGTCATCACGGGGCAGAATGGGCCATTGTGCCATTTGTTTTTCAATGAGCGTGATGATGAAGCCCCTCGCCTACTTATTCATGAAGATTTTGGCATTGATCCTATCCTTAAAGATCTCCAGTGAGCTGGTTGGTCATTTCATAGATGCCCTCTCCCTGCCTTTGCTCTCTGAGAACTGCGTTGAGGACCAAGCAGCAAGTCATGTCACGTCTTGCGTCATTAGCAAACAGATGTTAGCACCATCTTCTCTGCCCTTGGCAGGACGGGATTAGAGAGAAGTGGGATTGCGGTGGAGGTGGCCGACCTCCCTGCCCTCCTCGTCACCAGCTCTGCTTTACTGCTGCTTGGTAGGGGAGCTGGTGTGGACATGGCATTCATAGCCTCTTCCTTCTTCCCAGACCCTACCATAGTCCTGTCTATAAAGCAAGGGAGCAGGGTAGTGCCCTACATCGTGGAGAACGAACACTTAATGAGGTGTTGGTGGTTTTTAATAAACAACGTCTGAAAAGGAATCGGGGAAGTATGTTGGGTATAAGGGAGCTTGGCAGGAAACCGTGTGAGGTCCAGAACTGTGGTGCCCAGAGTCATAGCCCAAGTGACAATAAAACATGCAGGGAGTTGGTGTCTGTCGATTTCTTAGTGTGGGGCTCAGGCTAGATACTGGGGGTACTGCTTACTTCTCTCCCCATCTTCTCCCCACTCCATACCGCTGTTCATGCACGGCCTCACGCTGTAGCTCACCTTCACTCAGCCCCCCACTTTGACTGTCCCACATTGCAGCAGGGTGGTCACTCACCTCATTCCTTTCCGTGAATGTTAGCAGTCCACAGAGTTGTTGCTCCTTGTTCTGGGTTCAGATGACTGACCCCATCCAAGTGCTGAACTCAGGGCCAGGAAGCTGGCTGGATATCTGGAGCAGAGGGTAGGGAATTCCCAGACACCTGCCGCTCTGCCTGTCACTGAAGGACCAACCAAAATGGGAGTGCAGCGGGTCTCCTTGGAGCCTGGGCGGTACCTCTGTCCTTCCTGTCCTGTAAGGGTTTTATCCTGAGTGTGGTGGGAAATGAAGAAACAGTTGTCAAGGCTATCAGTCGCCTTCTCTCTGTTAGCTGCGTGGGCTCAGCGTTGAGGAAGACCCTGGATACTTGCTGCACCAGCTGAAGCCAGCCTCAGAAAGACAGGGGATTTAGATCTAGTCCCCGGATCACTGTTTGCAGTTTGTCTGGCTCCTTAGCAAGCAGAACTGCCCTGAGCACTGATCTTAGAAGGAGCGTACCTGAGTTCTGGCCATAGCGAGGCACGGAGGCCTTGGGCACTCTCCACAGGACAAGAGCATCCCCTGCCCTAGCAGAGGATGGTGAGGTTCCCAGTCCTGCTCTTGGCACTGTCAGGAGAGAAGCGGAATGGGTGTGAGATGTCTCTGCCAAGGAGCAATCCCTGCAGGTGAGCGAGGGCTCTGGGAGAAGCCAGTGTCTCCTGTCTAATAGGAGTGATAGCTGCAGAGGGGGTAACCTGGTAGGAGTACCGAGCCAAGGTGCCTGAGGCTTTCGTAGGTGCTCACAGTACAGACACAGGCTCCGGAGACAGTTAAGCATGGGGGAGGAGCAAGTGGGAAGCAGATGGGAGCCGTAGGTGCAGTGCGTTTGCTGCTGGGAACCGCAAGGCCTGCTCTCTCTACCATATACATGCACAGCTAAAGAGCCAAACCGTCTGAAACCCTAATTTCCTGTGTTTGAGGTGTGACTTTTAACATTTACTGTGCTCTTTTTCTCCACCTTTATTTTTATAGCCAGAGCCTGAGCCTTCGCGTCGATTTTTTGTTGACCAGTGGGAGCTCTCCCGTAGTCTCCGCTCCTCCACCCGCCCTGCCTCTCCCTCCTCTGACTCCCTCCGACAGGTAGCACGGCCTGGACTTGGCAAAACCATGTTCTCCTGCAGCCTCTGCTCACTCTGTTTCCACAGGTGTCACCCACCTGAGGGAGGCTGGGAGGTCTCCGCCTTTGCCTGGCTCCTCAGAAGCTGTGTGTGCACGTGGGTGTGTGTGTGTGCGCGTGCGTGTGCGGGCACGTGTGGGTGTGTGTTGCCACAGATGCCTATATTAAAGAGGCCACTAGCTTTCTTTGAGTGTTTTCACACATCACAGCCTGTCCGAGTGAACCCACTGTTAAACCACGTCCGATGTTGATAGCATTTTTCAACCTTTGGCCGAAGACTGTGTTTTTTCGTAGTCACGTGCTACAGAATCTGAACCTTTTCGTTACTAACTTTTCTGAGTAAAATAGTGAGCACACAGCATTCTTGGTGCTTCTTCATGTGTGGCATGAAGCCTGCTTTTCCCCAGTGACTCCCATCCGGTTCCGAGGAGTTTGTTAGCAGTGTGTGTGTGCGTGCACGGAAGCCTGTGCATGTGTGTGGTGTGCAGTGGGCTAAGCCTAACGGTTGCTACACTTTTGACTCCCGTCTGAGAGTGGGAAGAAGAAAACCATCTGCTTTCCATGCCAGAAGCAAACAGAACTTGAGCCTTCACCTCTCTGGGGGATGCTTCTCAGAGTTGCTACCTCACCAAGAACTGACAAATGCCTCTGCATGCGCAGCCCCGGCCGTGGCTGCCGAGGTGATGGTCTCTGGTCCTGAGTGTACACAGTGGGGCTAGGACTGCAGTGTGCTGGCACTTTGCCATCTGCTCTACAGGATGAGGGCGATGCGACTTTCCTTTGAGGGCAGCTCTCAGATGAGATCTTCTCTCATTTCTGCTGTCCTCTACCGGGTGTCCGCCTGTCTCAGGCCTGTCCTTCTCCAGGTATCTAATCTAAGAGACTGTGGAACTGGCAGGAAAAACAAATCCTAGGAAATCTCTTTAGTTGAATTGGAGAATGAAATGGATTGCTCAGTTCCAGCCAGGCTTTAGCTGAGCCTAGTGAGAAGTGTTTGTTCAAGTGTGTCTGTTCCCAGACTTAGAGAGTTGGCCCCGAGAACCTGGACATGCTGCTGCTTGGGCCGGCAGCCCTCTTACATGTGGCTCTGCAGGTCTGTCCCTTGAGGCCACTTACCGGGGGATTTGGCCGTCTTTGGGACAACTGCATCTGGATCAGAGTTGGTGACAAACTCTCCCACTTGGCTGGGAGCGTCCTTTATTTCCTGCCGTGAGAGGTGTGGCACCCTCTGTCTCCATCCAGAGTCCTGGCTCCCAGGTCTCTAAAAGACTACCCACAAAACTATAGTCCCAGGCCAGGATCCAGGCTGGGCCACAGGGTGTCAGGCCTCTGGTGAGCAGAGTGGCTCACCATGCAGACATGGGCGTTTTTCCTGTTCCTTTCTTCAGCATTGCCAAAAGGGGGACCGCATTAGTTTGATTTGTGTGTGTTGGGGGAAGAGGTTAGACTGTCTCGCTGTTTATGTAGTCCAGGCCAGCCCCGAATCCATGGCAATCCTCCCGCCTTAGCCTCCCAAGTGCTTGGTGTCCCACCTGATCTGGGAGAATTCTAGCCTCCACGTATGGGTGGATGAGCACTGTCTTTCTGCTCCCAAAGCCCCACCCCCCATATCAGTGGGGAAGCGACCAGAGGAGGCTTCTTCCCAGAGTGGTCAGCTGTATGGAGCAGACACTGTGGGTCTGGCTATGAGGCAGGGGGTCAACAGCAATGCCAGAACTCTGCACACCTGTTGCTCACATGGGACATTAACCTCTGCCAGAGTCTGCCTGGTTTCTTTCTCAGCCTGGGGTAGTCACCTCATTCACAGAGCCCCTTGGGCCTGCTCCTGGCTCTGTAGCCACCTTCCTGGTGTTGACCCCTCACACTCCGTGAGTCCAGGTGCAGGCCCTCTTTCTCCTCCGTGTTCACTGGACTCTTGGAGAAACCCGAAGGACCAAGTTCTTCCTGTGGAACACTGTCTCCATGACTGCTGCTCGTGCGTGTGCTGACCACCGTGTGGACGCTGGCACCAGCATTTTGCTCACTGCCCAGTTTCTGCTTGTGGGCACTGTGTTGGCATGGTTTGCTGTTGCACTGTGTATTCATTTTATACCTCTCAAAGATTTTTTCCCCCTGTCTTCTTAATTTAATTTTTATTCCTTCTCATTTCCCTTCATTTTGATCATTCTGTAATCTTCAACCAATAGAAGTATATAAAGATGTACACGGGCGGAGTGAGCTCATTGGCTGAGCAGATAGCCAATCAGCTTCAAAGGAAAGAGCAACCCAAAACCCTTCTAGACAAGAAGGAACTGGTAAGAGATATTCCAGGGGCACTGTCTCTAGCCACGGCACGGTGGTGAGCAGCCCTCGCCTGCTCTGAGGGCCTTGCTGATTTCTGTAGCCACGTGGATTACTACGTGGCAGCGTTCTTGAGGTGGTCTTGATTTTGATGACTACATTTCTAGAAATGTGGTAAATATTGAGAACGTTCTGCGGAAAAGCACTTTTCTCTTTAAAGATAGTCCCTCCGGGATTCAGGGGATGTGCACACGTGTGTGCACACATGAGCACCGAGTGTATGTATATTTATTCTATCTCCCAAGCAAAACTATGACAAACAGTTGGTTTGATTGTTAAGAAATTCTGAAGCCTTGGACTCTTCCTCACAGGCATCGCTTAGTTCTTGATCATCACGGGATTAGACCCTGGCTTGTACTGAGGGTCCTCGGGAGGGGCCTGTGGAGTAAAGCTACCCCGAGAGCTGCCTTTTGGGAAAGCCCCCAACAGAGCATTTGTAGTCATTTAATACCCACGGTCTGTGTCCACGTGACCCGCGTCGCCATCACCATGGAGGGCGCGTGTGGCCCTGGGAGAGGCCACACAGCCTGACATGCTCCTCCTTACCCACCCCACAGGGCTCCATCAAGAAAGAGTTCCCACAGAACTTGGGGGGCAGCGACACGTGCTACTTCTGCCAAAAGCGGGTCTACGTGATGGAGAGGCTGAGCGCCGAGGGCAAGTTCTTCCACCGAAGCTGCTTCAAATGCGAGTACTGCGCCACCACGCTGCGCCTCTCTGCGTACGCCTATGACATAGAGGACGGTGAGTACATCGGTCAAGTCAGCAGCTAAGTGTGACGCCTCTTTCTCCGCCCTTGCTGCACTCCTCTCTACACTCACCTTCTCAGCTATATCTTTCCCTTTTATTTTTAAAGTCTCAGACCGGGGGTGGGGGCGTGAGGGGTTGTTCGATTCCTCTGTGTAGCCCTGGCTGTCCTGGAGCTGGTTCTGTAGCCCAGGCTGGCCTCGAACTCCGAGATCTGCCTGTCTCTGCCTCCCGAGTGCTGGGATTAAGGGTGTGCACCACCACCTCCCAGCAGAATAATTCTGAGACTCTTTAAAAATATTTTTCCAGTCCCCAGACTGTCACAGCTCAGCGAAGGAGGTGATGCTGTGGTGGCACAGATGTCGTGCCCCGCATTTCACACACTCACTTTCTTACCTCACATGAGACCTCACATGAGTCTAAAGGGGCATAGTAAGGGTTCCTAGAACTCACGTTTCTGGCCTAAGGTTGATAACAGCAACCAAAGCAGATCCAGGCTTCTGCCTTACGGAGCAGATTGTAATGCCAGGCTTTGTGACCTCCCTCTGGCGTCAGCATCTCCTGGCCTGGGGCCCAGTTCTGCTGGTTAACTGTGGAGAGACCTTAGTTTCAAGGTGGAGAAATGTGCCAACAAATAACAGCCAACTTGTCATCCGAAGACTCCTTTTTTTTTTTAATAATTTATTTTATGTGCATTGGTGTTTTGCCTGCCTGTATGTCTGTGTGAGGGGATATCGGGTCCCCTGGAACTGGAGTTACAGACAGTTGTGAGCTGCCATGTGGGTGCTGGGAATCGAACCCGGGTCCTCTGGAAGAACAGTCAGTGCTCTTAACTGCTGAGCCATCTCTCCAGCCCCCCACCCCCACCCCCAAAGATTCTTAAGGGAATGGAAATGGGTGGCCAAAGGCATTTATGACTCCTGCCGCCATCCCTACAGGATGCCGAGGGATTCATGGGACATGGTTTAATTTAAGAATAATAAACCTAGGTGAATGGGGAAGGAAACTCAGTCCTCACAGGGATGATAGCAAGCCTGTGTGTCAATAGGTGGTCTGTTGACTGTAAAGGGACCAGAAGGTGATGGCAGAGGGAGCCCATATTAAGTCACCCCTGTCATACAGATCCTCCTAATAGCGAAACACAGACAGCCATGGCTGTCACCGAGCGGGCAGGAGTAAGTGGCGAACTCAACATGACCTTCCTGCACTGGCAGAGACACTGCTCCGGGAAGAGCTGAAAGAGTCACCTGGGTGAGGAAGGCAACCTGTTGGTATTGAGCTTTCCCTTCCACTCTCACGCATCGTTTCTCTGGGGACAGCACCTTTGACTCCAGGGAGAGGGATTGGCAGGTGGGCCCCACCTCAGCACTGCCCTTGATACTTAGGTTATTTTAGTCTTTTACCTTGGATGTGCCCAGAAGAAGATCCCTCATTCTCTTGAGGGTGTAGATGAAGTGTGAGTGTACCTCTAGGAACTTACCAGGTTGTGTTCATCAACTTCTGTCAACGTGACGAAATGCCTGAGATAATCAACGTATATAGAAAAGAATCATTTTGGCTCCGATGTGAAGGTTTGGGTCTGTGGCCTCTGGTCTGCTGCTCTCTGGCTGTGACTCGGTAGCACATTGCAGGGGTGTACAGCAGAGCAGATGTGCTCACCTCATTACCAGGAAGCCAAAGAGAGAAGAAGGGCCTTCATTTAACACACGGGCTGGCACATTGGATGGGAACGATACACACAGTTCACACGAGGCAAAGCACACTGATCACGTCTTCGTTCCCTAAGTTCACAGTTGGTGCCACAGGATCTTGCTTGAGCTGTCCCCTCCCTGGAATACACTTGCCTAGTCATGTTGTAATGGGCTAACCACCTTCCTGTCCCCACACGAGGTCTCCCCAGACCATGACGTGGCCACTGAGTTCTGGTCGCACCACTGACTGTGGTTGTTCCCACGGTGTTTACTGCTTTCTCCTCCCGAACCACGTGTCTTCTGCTCCGTCCAACTAAAGTGCTCGTCTCCCTTGACTGGAGACCCAGTGTCCATGGTACCCGAGTCGTTAAATGACACAGACAGTGGAGTAAATGCCGGTTCGCCTTGGGCCAGCCTGACGGATACCTGTGTCCCCCTTTCCATCACTCAGTTTGATTGTCAAGATGGCTTAAGCTAGACACTCCCCGGTCTGTCATTTTATTGGATCCTCTATAACTCGTGATTAATTCACAATGTTAACCTAGCTGACTTTCGTGAGACAGGAGCCATAGTGCAGTGGCAGGTGGTGTGGGCTCTGGAGCCAGTTTCCTGAGATGCTCTCTGTGGGGCATTTTGGCAGGCAGCTTGGCCTGCCTGTGCCTCACCCATGGAAGGATAGTAACAGTCCCTACGTGCCTCACTGGGTTGGTTGTGTGAGCACTGAATGAATGGATAGATGTAAAGCAGTTAGAATCATGTCTGGAACATAGTAAATGTTAGGTAAAAATTAGTGTGTGTGTATTTTTTTTAATTCATTTAAACAGCAAAAGTAATTAAATTGAGTTTGGGGAAGAAAATAAGAAACTACATTAAAACTAGGTATAGTGGCACATACCTGTAACCCCAGCACTTGAGAGGTGGAGACAAGGAAGATGAGGGGTTCAGGCTCGGGTGGGCTATGTGAGTCCGTACCTCCAAAAACAGAGAGAAGCATTAATGTTTATTGGAGCACACATAACGCATGCCTGTGATGGTGAACTGTTTCACTCTCCAAGGTAGGAGTTCTGTTCCTTTGCTGTGGGCGGAAGTGAGCCCTAAGAAGCTAGAGTCTGAATGGCTGCCGAGAGGTTGGCTTTACCTGAGAGCTCTCTTCAGCTGCGCCTTTGCATCGTGAACTACCTTCCTAGAGAAAACAGTTTTCTGGAATGTTCCTGGAAGCTCCCTTAGGGCTAGGATCTGAGCCTGGTTTCTGAAACGTAAACCCTTGTGTTTAGTTTTAATATGGAGCAGGAGCCGGAGCTGGTCAGCTGGGAGGAGAGTTTGTGATCTGCGTTTCTAACTTAGAAGGAAAAGTCCGATGAAAATGATGGTCAATGACTAGTGTTCTTGTAGTGAGCCTCGGGCCGTGGGGTGGCCCAGCACGGTGCCTGGGACCACGCTGATCTCCTCAGTTTGAGTCCTGGAGACCCACGTGGTGGAAGCAGAGAACCTTGGACTGCGAGTCGTTCACTGATCACATGTGCCCTCCCTTGCCTGCCTCCACAGACACACACAAGAAATAAATAAAAAAAAAAAAAACGTAAAACGTTCTTAAATTCTGACAATATACAAGCTTCATGATAAAAGTCAAGTCACTAAAGTGTAAACTTTAGAGTTATGTCTTCCTTCCAAATACTCTCAGAGATGGGGCTGGAGAGATGGCTCAGTGGTGAAGAGCACTGGCTGCTCTTGCAGAGGTCCTGAGTTCAGTTCCCAGCCCCCACATGGTGGCTCACAGCTGTCTGTAACTGAACATCCAGTTCCAGTGCTCTCTTCTGTCTCTGTGGGCACAGACATACTTGCAGGCAAGACATACATAAGGAAACAAAATAAAATTTAAATAGGCTCAGAGAAGTGCTTCCTTCAAGGTCACAGCTGTCCTCCTTAATGGCCCTGATCAACCTGACCTCAGTCACATGCCAGCCCTGGGGAATGGGTCCTGAGGTAGCTGAGGTTGACCAGTCTGGTCCGGTATCTTCCGTGATAGCCCCATCACTGTCCAGTGAAAGAGGATGGGTATTTCTTAAAGAGTGAAATACAAAACATAGAGGATGATCCGGGTCCTAATATATTTTATCTTCTATTTAATGGGGGGAGCTTCCCAAAAGAACGGAGTGGATTATTACAGATTATCTGAAAGGAGTCGTGGATAAGCTAAAAACAAAACAAAAGAAAAAAGTCACATAAATAAACTCTGCTCACCTGTAGAGAAGCAGACTGTGAAATGACGGCCTTTGCCCATCACGTGGCCCCACAGTGCCGGGTCTCCAAGTCCTGGCTGAGTGCCAGCAGCTGATGAGAAATCTGTTTAGGGAAATGTGACTAGTGTCTGAAGCCCGTAAAATTCACTGCGATTTTTTTTCACCATTGGCTTTAAATCTAAACTATCCAGTTACAGTCATTATTAAAGGCTTGGTTGTTAGCTGGTAGGTATTTGAAGGCAGCTGGCTCATCAGTGGGTTAATTCACAGATGGATAGATAAGTGAATGGCATTGTTGGGTTACGATGGAAACTTTGGGAGGTGGAACCTGGTTGAAAACTGTGGTCACAAGGATGAACCCTGGGATGATACAACTTGTCCAGCCTCTTCCCCTTTCCCCATGCTTTCTCTGCTTCTTGCCAGCTTGAAGGGAGTGTCTCCTCCCCCTCCACCTGCTCTCCACCATGATGCCCTGCAGGTCAGCAAAGCCCAGAGCAATGGGACCTAGTAACCTTGGACGGAGACCTCTAAAATCATGAGCCAAATAAGTATTTCTTCCTTTAAGTTGTGTTCCTGGGTATTTTGACAATGCTGACTTAACACAGTAAGAAAAGCAGATAAAGGAAAAGTCAACCACTTTAAAAAACGAAGAAAATATATAGGGGTTGCAGATGTCTCAGTGGGTAAGACCACTTGCTCTGCAGACATAAGGTATTCAAAGACTCTCTAAGATTCCATTAGGATTTCACAGAGGTGAGAACTAGTGGCTGGCTGTTCTGCTTCTCTGATCCTTCAGCTTTCACCCTGATCTCTGGCTCTGGGTTTTCTATTAATAAGACCATCTAAGATTCGAACAACAATGAGGATCTGAGTTTGAGTCCCCGGTACCCACATAAAAATGCCTGGCATGGTTGCACATCCCTGTAAACCCCCAGCCTGAGGAAGCAAAGACAGGCAGACCCTGGGAGCTCCCTGGAAGGTAGCTGAAATGACAAGCTTCCAATTCAGTGAGAGACCCATCTCAAGGCAATAAAACAGGAAGTTTTAGAGGGGCATACACCCTGGTTTCCGCTCGTGCACGTGCACACACAGCACAGGAAGATACACCGGATCACCAGGGAAGGGGAGAGGGAAGAGCAGCCGCTCGCCTTGTTTCCTTTGACCGTCCGTCCCAGGGTTTACCTTTGTTGATGTTGTTCTTGGCAAATGGTAAGGGAAAGCAGGCAGCTCCTGAGGCAGCCTTTCTCAGGACGACGGGGCTGATGCTGAAGAGCTTTCACACCTCAAGTTAGAGAAGAGATTCGGTTTATTTGACTCTTGGTTCATTCTAGCACACTTGTGTTGAAAAGGGAAATGGGTCTTTCAAATGCTTTTTTGGCCTTGCTCGCCTCGGGAGATAACATCACTTTAGGTAAGACCCAGTAAATACATGTAGACAGGACCGAAAGTCCTAGGAAATCATGGTTAGCCTTGGTTATATTGAAACACATGCCTGAGTTTCATTCTGTTTATTTAGTCTGTTTATGATCCACCCACGGGGTGTGTGTGTGCGCGCGCGCGCATGCGCGCTCGCGTCCGAGTGCGAGTGTGCATGTGCATAATAGGCATGTATAATACCACACCCGTGTGTAGAAATCAGAGAACAACTTTGGGGAGTCAGTTATTTCCATCCACCTTGTTGAGGCGCGGTCTCCCTTCCTGTGTCTGCTGCTGCACTGCATACTCCCGGGTAGCTGACCCTCAAGCTCCTGGCCGATTCTCCTGTCTCCGCCTCCTGTCTGTCCATAGGAATGCTGGGATTGCAGATTCCCACCACCACGTCCTGGGGATTGAAGTCAGGTTGTCCTGCCTGTGCGCAGCCAGCTCCTTTACCTCGCAGCCATCTCTTGCCCCTTGTATTATTTTTAGCACACTGTAGGGTTGCAGCGTGCTTTGGACTGGCCGAGGCTAGTGACAGGGAGGGTGGGAGTCCACGGTAGTGGAGGGGAGCAGAGACAGTTCTGTCAGAGTTAGTAACTGGCACCGCCCTAGCCCTTGAAGCCTTCCTGCCTCCACCCTGCACTTGTATTCATTCTTGCCCTCCCCAGAAATGCCGCTGCGGTCCTCATGTGACCACGTCTTTGCCCTCACACACTACTACTTTGTTTGCTGGCTCTGTCATGCAAGCCTCACATCTTTGCTCTGGGCACTGATTGGTGGTGACCCAACAACCTTCACACACCCAAAGAGAAAGACCTCTGCATCAGACACAGGGAGAGAAGGCCGGGGCCGGCCTTTCTGGATTGTGGGGGGAGCCGGGAGCTGTCGGGGAGAGGGGGTAGGAGTTATGAAATCCCGTGGCCAGCAAGCCAAGTTCGCCATTGTGGCATATTGCTCACTCCTCTTTTCCCGGCGTCTTTCTGTCCGCAGGCAAATTCTACTGTAAGCCGCACTACTGTTACCGGCTATCTGGCTATGCGCAAAGGAAGAGGCCAGCAGTGGCTCCTCTGTCTGGAAAGGTAACTTGCTGTGAGTGGGACTGTCAGAGTGCCGCCTGTCCCATGAGCGGGCTTGAGAGGAACTGCAGTTGGCCGGATGCAGACAAGCCAGGTTTACAAGCTTCTAGTGATGCCACTCTCAGAGACCATGCTCTGGGCTTATTCTGAGCAGAAAGGCGCCCTGCTGCTCACCGTAACTAACTGTTCCTTCCCAGAGGTCAGAGCTCTCTTCCTTGTAGCTGGAGAATAGGCAGCCCCAGGAGTCCCCTTCCTTTCCTCAGGCCCACAGCCCAGGCATCTGAGGGCCAACCCCTGCTCTCCATCCTGAGGAGACCAGACTGCCATAGCTGCTCTACCTGATGCCCCTTGACCTCTGCTTCCATGAGTTAGTATCTGAGCCCTTGACTTTTTTTTGCTTCAATGGGAGTGGTCTGTTCTTGTTTTGTCAAGGTGGCCTGAGTAATCCCTTCACTTCATGGACAGCACTTCGGCAGCATACAGCAGAGGGATGGTGGGAAGAGGTGTACAGTGGCCTTTTGCATCCATGGAGTCCATCCTAGGTCCCATGCATGGAGGGAAAATACTTCTGTACTGGATCTGTGCAGACTCTTCTGTCCTCTAAGCAATACAGTATAATAACCCTTTACTCTGATAGTAGTTACATTGTTATGTAAGTCATCCAGAGAGCATTTAAAGTTGGCAAGAGGATGCATATATGTTATATGTCAGTGCATCACAGATTTTGATATCTAAGAGGATCAAAGACTTCTTTCTGAGGAAGGCCTCCGCTGTGAGGAATACAGTAGACAGACAGAGTAGCCAGTCTCGGGGTCACTGCCTGCTGAGTCCGAGGGTTGCAGTTGGAGTCACTGTTCTTTTTTCCTATGGACTCTTCTAGGACGCCAAAGAACCCCTGCAGGATGCCCCCGCTGCAGATGCAAATGGACTGGCCAGCGTGGCCGCCAGCGCAGCTGAGAGAACTCCAGGTAGCCTCACTTCCTTGTTTGGCTGGGTGGTGCATCACTCCCTCGGCCTCTGTGACAAGGCCAAGGGGATGAGTCAGCACCTCCAAAGCAACATTTCTTCAATTGGGCATCAAGTGGCCCAGAACCCCCTGGACTCCTTTTTCATGTGTCAGCTGCTGGCCTTCGGGGTCCCCTTCCTCTACGGCCTGTCGGAGGTTCTGGTGCAGATTGGAGGGGAGTTCCACTGGCAGACTGTGAGCCAGTGATGGTGCAGTCTGGTAAGTGGACTTACCCCACACTCCCAAGGCACACCGAGGTACTTGGTGCAGACCCCGTAGGTAAACAGAAACCCCCAAGAGGCTGCTATGTCATTGACCCAGGGAAATCCCAGAGCCGTAGGCTTCTGCTGTGTGACTCCTGTGTAGGGCCTGTTTCTCCATGTCTCAGAGAAAACTGTGGCCCACAGTGTGAATGTGTTCACTGTAACTTGAAGTTTTTGCATCCCATTCCCCAGCTCTGTGTCCAGATCGTCCATGTGACAAGGACCACCCTCTCCTAATCACTTTAGGCATCTGAGTTTCCAGTGAGGGTCAAGACCCCTTGTCCCACTCTCTTAACCACTTCCTGTGTCAAGAGCTCAGCGGTACCATCCTACCTCAGACCTCAGAAAACATGCCATCTCTGTCCATTGCAAGGTAGAATGGGGAGTGTCAGGAACATGAGGCCTGTAGAGAATTGTCTTGTTTTGTTTTGTTTTTTTCCTTATAATTTCCCCATCTGCCCTTGTAAAACTAGCCACAGTTCTGTATACTGCTGAGAGGTCCTGAGTCCCCTGTGGTGGCCCCAGGTGTCTCTCATGGGTTGCTCTTTATGTGTGAAGTCTCTAGCACTATATTTATGTATGTCACACATTTTCTCTTGTTTACAACAAGTATATATTTTTATCTTATTTTATATTTTATTTTTTGTGTGGGGTATTTGAGATAGATTCTCATTATATAGCCCTGGCTAAAACTGGATGTATAGACCAGGCTGGCCTCAGATTCACGGAGATCCACCTGCCTCTGCTTCCCAAGTGCTGGGATTACAGGTGTATGCCACTATGCCCAGCAGCAAATATATCTTACACAGCCAGGTACAAACTCAAATAAAAATGAAAGATTGTTGGCCAATGCCAGAACCCACTGAGGAGCTTATGTATACTTTCCATGATGGAGGAGTATTTTCTTAGCTTTGAAGTAGAGCTGCTTCTGTTGATGAAGTCAGGAGTGGACACAGCCTTTGGGCACTGGTACCAGAGGAGGGAGAATGTGCCTGCGGCTTGGCAGGCGCACTGTGGGGGTGGGGGGTCTGTTAAGCCTCCAAGGCACAGAAACCCCAGCCAGGTCTAGTGAACTTGACTGCCGCTTTTCTGTGTTCCCTTCTCACGCTCTGAGGAGGCGGAAGCTTTTAGGTGCTCTCGTGGTGGGACTCACAGTTTATAACCAGACTTAAGCCAGGCGTGAGTTTGAGCCCTGTGAAGTCTGTCAGCCCTTGGTAGTATTTCTCAGGAGTTGACACTCCAGAGCACACACTGGCAGAGAAAAGTACGCTGGCCCCAGACACAACTTTGGCTTTACCCCGGAATGTGCATGTGATCGGGTGACAGCCCCGCCTAGTCAGCTTGCCAAGGAGACCGGCTACTCAATCAAAGTTGCGCTTTCCCCACGGGTGAAGGGCACAAGAGCATTCTTTTAAAAAGAAATATCAGTGGTTTTGCTAACTCTCCTGACTTGTTCATTTTGCCTCTCTGCCTGTCCAACGAAAGCTTAATGGGTTTCAGGTTTTTAGGGCACTCTAAAGAATTAAGGGATCCATAGATAAGGAGAAGAATGCTTTATAAAACACTGAGAAAATGGGATTTGCCAGTGTGGTGAAGGAATCAGAACAACAGAGAAATGGCCTGAGGTAGAACAGGCTTTCAGAACAGCAGGAGAGGGTGAAGAGTCGGTGTCCAAAGTATCCCAGGCTGAATGTCCAAAGGGAGCGAGGCTGGCTCTGTACCCTACCCCAGGGTTAGGACTCCCTGCAATGGGAAACCCAACTCACGGTTTGGAAATCACAGCCCTGAGTCCTGAACATGCTCAAATCCGTAGCACTTGCCCTTGAAAAGGACTGGGAAGGGGGACAGGATTCTGAGGGACATTTTAGAGTTGCCATGCAATAGGTTTCTGTTTCCTCTGTGGTAGAAATGCCTTCTTTGAATCCCACACTAGCTTTGAGTGCTTGACTAAATATCCTCCCGAAAGGTTCAGACAAAGCCCAGTGCCTCAGGCTCCCAGAATGTGTCACAGAAGGGTTCTTAACCTGGTCCCTGTTCTGTCACATGGGGGCTGCCCGTGCTCCCCGGGACCCACCGTGGAGGAGGAACAGGAAGTGCCAGGCTGTGGCCAGCGGCCCCTGCACACCTGGTCCTGCACGCCTCTCCCTTCTTCCCCTTAGGCAAGAATTAGTGCTGTTGCAAAAGCAAAGGAACAGCCAGAAAAATACCCCCAAATAACAACGTAACCCCCCCCCCGAAACCTCGCATAGGCCCGACGGTAACCTTGTCTCCCGCTGCTGCTTGACGCGCTGTTTGAGACGCTGTTGACAGGATTTCTGTTTGTACTGTGCTTTTAATATAGAACTCCTTCTCTTCTCGAACCTGTAACTGCTTTGTTTCCAAGCTGCCTCTTCTCACTGCTGCAGATCAGTGGGCCTGGCACAGATTTCCTTACCCTGGCCTCACGGTACCTGCCTGGAGTTTAGGAAGCGTCTGGACAACAGGCAAAGAAAAACCGGGATGGGATGGCTGTTCTCTTGGATGCGAGCCCTTGGTTGCAAGTGGTTCCTTTCTTGGGTAGAGGAATCCCATTATGCAGAAGCAAAAGTGAGGCACAGGGCACGTGGGCGGGAAGGGAAAACGAGCCCTTCTTCTCCCAGTGCGCAGTGTCTAGAACATCTGCGGTGCAGAGCACAGAGAGCAGGCGGAGGAGCATGCTCCCCCGTCACCTTGTGAGGAAGAGTGTCTTTCCTGGAGAAGCTGTAGTTACAAGTGGCACTGGCCTGTTCCCTGGCCCCAGACACTCTTCACATGGTACATGGTGCCCATTGGCTTCCATGCTTGAATCTCGGTAGGCTGTTAGGAAACGCAGCCATTGTCCACACTAGCCAGAATAGCCACATGCTACAAAGAATGCCACTCTGCCTGATGGGGAGGCCAGGGATCCTCTCATGGCTTCCTAGGGCCTCGTCCCTTCTAAGCCTGCTGTAAAACCCAGCAAAGGAAACACTCTGAAACAGCTGCCATCTTGTCTGCCTCCCCAACCCGCCCAGTAGAGCCAAAGCTAAGCAGTGGCACTGAGTGAACATTCGTGTATGCCAACCTCTCTCTGTATGTATATCCGTGTATCTGTATGTGTATGGCTTTAAGTTCAGTGTATAGGTAGATAGTATTTATATATACTATGCCCTAAATGATAACAGTGAGACTGTTTTTAAAGTTACTTGTTGATCTGAAAGCCATAGGAGCTTTTTCTGGAAGCTTGCCCCGGCTTGACCCCAGCCTAGTCAGCGTTCCAAGAGAGCTCATCAGCGAGGCGTAGCCATGGGGCTGGGTCTCTCAGAAGATGGGTGGTACGGACCCCTAAACTCAGGTAATCAGTTCTCCTCGTCAGCCAAGCAGTAGTCTTGCTGGTAGGGGGACCAGAGACTCAGACTCCTAACTTCCCTCAAGTCAACCTGTGGCTCTGCGGACTCCCCTGGAGCTGGGTCGCTTCCCGCTGTCCTGGCGTTCACTGTGCCTGGCTGCTTCCTGCAGCACAGTGGCATCGTCCTAGGCCCTCTGTGCCACTGAGAACGGGCCAGGGAAGTAAGGAGTTCACTTTTAACCACGCTACCATTCTCTTGGGGTGAGGCGGTGGGGGGGGGGGGGGCAGCAGACAATGCCCAAAGCTAAGGTACATAGAAGCCAGAGTGGGGAGGATTAGCTGTGCCAAGGAACACTTTGCCTGTCCTCTCTGATCTTCCCTAAAGCTTTTAATTTGCCCGTGTTTTTAATCTGTGCTATTGTGAGTTTGTGGGTGTGTTGCTTTGTGAGTTTTTAATTTAATTGTGTAACTTTGTGTTTGCCGTTACTGTGAAACCAAGGTGTTGTGCGCTAAGGTTTTTTTGGTTTCTGTTTTGTTTTTGTTTTTTTTAACAAATGTTACATTCTTATTTAAGAGAATAAATTCCAAACAATCTTCAGGTTTCTGAGTTTTTCTTTTCTTTCTCTTTTTCCTGATTGGAGTGTGGGAAAGGGGAAGCCCAGGCAGGTGTGGGGCATGTGCTGTGGAAGCCACTGTTCCTCAGGGCCCTCCCTCACTCATGCTGAGGATAGGGATAGCATAGATGGCTATGGGGACCAGGTTGTTCACAGAGTGTAGAGTCCTGTTAATGAAGGACCTTGTGCAGGGTGTGGCACGATGCAGGGTGTTTGGCTCTGTAGGAACTGTAAATAAAGAGCAGTAAGAGCCTCTCACCCATGTGTCCCCTGTTAAGTGAGCCATCGTGAGGGACCTCAGGCTAGGCAGACGGATGAAGGATACATTTCCACACAGAGCCCAAGTCTGCCGAGGGGACATAGTTAGCGCCAGGTGCTGTCCTCGGAACTAGGACCAGTTAGATGTCTTCCCTCTCTGTAGATGCGCTTGCTCAGGTGGTGACTGGGATCCTTGACAAGTCACACTGGGATCCCTGTTCTTTGCTCCCCAGCTGGAGTCTCTCCTCAGCTGTCTGAGGAGGGACCTGGCTCCTGAGTTCTGTTGCCCAGTGTCGTTGGGCTGTCCTCAAGCCTGGCGAGGCCCGCCTGTCCTCCTCACACAGCGCTGCTAACCGAGTAATAGTGACACTTCCGGCCATCAGCGTGCCAGCCATGGGAACACAGGCCAATGGGATCAAAAGTGTGCGCCTTGGTGGTGAAGTACTCTGTACTGAGTTTACCCGTTGGGAAGTCTGGGTGT